CCCCAGGCCCAAGAGATGAAGATAGGAGCTGCAGGGATCACAGGTGGGCCAGTCAGGGAAATGTCTAAAACAGAAACCACACGGTCATTTCATATAAGGAACTGGTTCAAATGCTGTTAACGGAGAATGGGAAAAGGAGATACTGAGGTATCAGAGGTCATAACTGCCGGAGTGCCTGCGTCCCCCACAACCACCAGGGGTGTGAGCAAAGGACAGAGGCTGGGATTAATAGAAACAGGCAGCTCCAAGGAGGCCACCCAGGGCTGGAACACAGCCCTCCAAGGCGAGGGTGCCACCAGCTAGTGCCCTTGTCTCAGGGGCCATGATGAAGCTGGACCAGCTGTCAGGGTCAAGGGCATGGGGCTGGAAACCACAGGAAGGGGGACATTCCTTCTCCTTCCTTTTCCCACTCCCACTCACTGCAGGCCGAGCCCTCACAGAGCAGCAGACAAGGCAGAGGTGCAGTGTGCAGGGCCAGCTCCCACATCACAGAGCAGAGAGTAAAGGTGACTCTGAGGCCGCCTCAGGCCCTGCACCCATAGTCCTGCTCCCCTTTGCAGTTGACAGTGCATACTCCAATGCACCAATGCCTGCTTGTTCACACCTGTGACCCCTGAGGCGCAGAGAGCAAAGTGCAGGCCCCAGGGCAAGGGTGTGCAAGGGCAGCAAGGCCTGGCTAGGCCCAGAGGATCTGACCTCTACAGTGCCAGTTGTGCTCTCAGCAGCCCCTGGAGTAGAAAGGTGGATGGTCCACGGGGCCTGCTAGCTCTAAACCCTGGGATCCCTTTCCTGAACCACTTGCCACAGTCACAGCACAGGCCAAGCCAAGGTGTGTAGGAAAAAGCAGGGAGAGACAGTGGGGCTAGGGAGACCAGGCCCAGGAGATCAGTGTGAGAAAGGAGCCCTGCTGGGCAGAGAAAGGAGCGGGGGCATGAGGGCTGAGCCTCACCTCCCTCCCTGCAGTGATGAGGTCAGGCCTGCTGACCAGCAAATGCTATGAGCCTGCAGGTAAAGCCATGTGTTTGGGAGAACATGACTTAGCTCTAGGCCTCATTCACATTCCACAGCTCCAGGGTCTTCCTGCTGCCCAATAAGCACAATCCTGCAGACATGGTCAAATCTGTTGGTAACGTTGATTGGTAACATTGGCAACTGATTGGTAACGTTGATGCAGAGTCCTGGTTTTTATACTGTAATTCAGACCAGTTCTAAGTGATGTTTCAATAGGTCTATGAAAGGCCAGCAGAGAGCCTTCCCTGGATGTTTCTCAGTGAGTGGATGGATTGTGGGAGAGGGAGAGATGGATGGATGGATGGATGGATGGATGGATGGATGGATGGATGGACAGATGGAGGGTAGGATGGATGGAAGGAAGGAAGGAAGGGCGGCTAAGGTGGTAGTGAGTAGATGGATGGATGGGCAGATGGATGGACGGATGGATGAGTGGATGGGTGGATAGATGTCTGAGTGGATGGATAAATAGATGTCTGAGTGGATTAATGCATTGGTGGGTGGATGGGTAGGCAGCTGGGTAGATAGGTAGATGGATGAAGGAGGAAGGGATGAGTGGTGGGTGGATGGATAGATAAATGGATGGATAGGTAGGTGGAGGGGTGGATGGGCAGGTGAATGAGTGGATAGATGGGTGGATGCATGGATGGATGGATGGATGGATGGATGGATGGATGGATGGATGGATGGATAAGTAAGTGGATGGGTGGATAGATAGGTGGATGGATAGGCAGATAAGGTGGTAGGTGGGTCAACGGATGGATGGGTGGGTGAGTGGATCGGTGGATGGCTGGATGGATGGATGGATAGATAGATAGATAGATAGATAGATAGATAGATAGATAGATAGATAGATAGATAGATAGATAAGTGGATGGGTGGATAGATGGATAGATGTCTGAGTGAATGAATGCATTGGTGGGTGAATGGGTAGGCAGCTGGGTGGATGGGTA